ATTTATTATTTCTCTTAATCTTTCCATCATGTTTGGTACTCTCTTATTTGTCCATGTAGTTGTTTCCTTTATATTGTTCTCAATCACGAATAAAGTTTTGACAAAAAAAAAAAAACACTTAGAGAGGGAGGCGGGGGCGCAGTGAAATGACGCTATGTGGAGTCTTCAAAATAAAAGCACGCGAGTTAAAATGTCAAAATCAAGTATTTTTCTCCTCCGGACAAATGCGCCTTTCTCCAATATTGAAGGGGGAAGACCAGATCTGCTTTCTGAACAACTGTCTTTTAAACCGATTAATGAGGAATTGGAATTTGAACAAATTACTGATCTGTGTGGTTTATTATTATCAATACATTGAAGTGCGAGTAGTATTGCAATAATTTCTCATGTGTGCTCTGCACTTAACGTGGTCAGGATCAAATATAGGCTAGTCATTTTGAAACAGGAAGCCTGGGTATCGGGGTGTGGTTTTTTCGGGTCTTTTCAGGGTCTGCAAGCTGCAGTTAGACCATTCTTCTTCAGCGRGACAAGTTAGGGGTTTCTAGCCTTTTATAATTATGATGGCTGTAGGTGGGACGACTGCTCCAAGATGGCGGCCGCATTTCATGCGCTCAACCAGCCAAAGCGAAATCTACGTCTTTTGACTGTGGTGGTCTGCTTTGCCTGGCTGCATAGAATAAAAATATCTATCTGAAATTATTACATACCCCTGGTCTGATTATTCATTCCGAAGCTGAATTAAAGTAGTAGACTAACTATTACATAAACCGGCAGACACAACAGTAATAAACACAGCTTTTACGAAGTAACGAAAAAAAAAAAAAAACACTGCTTCCCACGTCTCCTCGCGGGTTCCATACCAGACTTCCAGAACAAAGAAAACAGTAGTTTAATTTGGGAAGAAATACTAAATAACAAAAACAAATATTAGATGAGTTATTTATGCAGAGACTAAATGACAAACTTGGTGTTTCCATCATTTCTTCATCCATCAATTTTTTTTAATTTAAAACGAGTGCTCTTATTCTGGAAGGATCGAGCAGGAAGTTAGTCCAAACCATGGTTCGAGTTCGCCTGTCCTTTCAGTGTGGCAGTTCACTGTGAACCTCTCTCCACAGGTAAGGTTGTTATTTTCCTCTGACCTGGACACGTGTCGGTCTCTGTTCATGGATATTTGGTTCAAGTTGAAACAGTCTATTTCTTTTATTCGCGATTTAAAAAAGCTGCTGATGTGAATGCAACATTAATTACGCTGTTGTTGTTTTTAATCGCAGACACCAATAAAACTAGGGGATAGCTTTGCTCCAAAGTAGGGACCTAATACAGAGGACAGGTTGAAGGTAGTTTAGGAGCGACCTTTGGTCCTTTAGTATGGATTTTAGTTCTTTCGTAACCATCTCTGTTCTAAAGGTGAAAATATACACCAAACACATTTTAAAGTGGTTTAACACCGCAGTTAGTTACAATCAAACAATCAGATAATGACATCAAAACTTGTCTAATAATAAAAATTTAAGAAGTTTACCATAAAACAAATCATTTTAACTTTAAAACCTTTTTAATGATGCCAAGATTATAGCACTTGTTTAAGAAAGCTTACAGTCTCATCCATTTAATTTTAGCTTAGTATAACATGAAATTACAGTGATTTTATTGTGTTTTATTAAAGTGACTTCAATTGAAAATGTATATCCAATTATTATTTATTTTAAAGTTACATTCAAATCTGTCCAGATCAAATACAGAGTTTACTCCAAATAGTTCATAACAAAATTCAAATGCCAGTTGCATAAATCCAGTGAATATTTCTTGAAAGCTTAATTAAGTGGTTCATCAGGTAATTTGCTAGCAGATTGACATAAAACCCACCTTCACGTTTTGGCAGCTGGTAATAAATAGAGTGAGAATAATTTTAAATCTGAACTTAAAGTCTGGTGGTTTACAGCTTAAAGAAACCTCTGAATCACTCCTTAAACTAAGATTAACTAATCCAAAATTTAGAGTAGCTACCAGTGATTAATTTGATTTAATGAATGATCTAACTGTCTTAGATCCAAATGTTCCTCTTAACCTGAATMTTTCTCTCCTGGTTTTGTTCTGAAGGGTGATCTCGCTGTCTCGTGTCCAAACATACCTGTTTTGACAGAATATCCAGAAACTCCACAGTCTGGGCAGAAGATGGCTCACAGGGTGGCTGACCTTCCCAGTGGTCCACTTGATTTCTACAGGAGAAAATCCTCCTTTAACTGGAAGAACATGGTTTGCTTCATAGATGGAGAGGAAATCTACCATTTTAAGGTACAGTCAAATTTTCTGGTGTAAGTGTCTGATCTAAGTCAGGTTTAATGCTGCATATCCTTAGTTTGGTAGAACTGAAAATGGTTAAAAAAGTCTGAATGTGTTGTGAAAAGCTGAAGGGACTCTTCCTTTAATGTTATTTATTGTTCTGTGATGTGAATATTTGCATAAATCTGTGTTCTGTTTCCCTTCTGCAGCAACAAATATTTAGGACTCTAGAGAATGATCCTCTGTTTAGACGTCAGCCTGGAGAAGATGTTCCTATTGAGAAGAAAAGAGAGATAAATTTCCTCAGGTATCAGCCAAAGAACCACTCTTGTTTATGAGAGACAGTATGTATGTATTTATTGTAGGTATGTACCAGTGGTGGGCAGCACTAATTCAAAAGTTAGTTGCATAATCTCTAAAGCACTAGTAAAATTATTTAGGTCTGCAAGTTCTAAAAAGCAAATGCAAGGCTTAAAGTTCTCCGTCACCACGACGGATTTCCGTCACTTTGAACGTGGCCAGGATGGATTTTTAAGGGAAGGGGGTGGGGTGGGGG